TCCCTTCCAACCCCAACCATTCTGTGATTCTTGCTTGGACAGTGGCTTGTTATATGTGGAGAAGGCTGCAGAGGAGAGGCTGCTGTGTGCAGGGTGGGGATGCTCAGGGAAGAGGTGAGACACACACCAATGCACTGTGCTTGCCCTCTCTGGATGTGCCGCAGACTCCGGGATCACCGTCTCCACGTCCATCCGCCTGGTCGGTGGCCCCAGTCGCTGCTCCGGGCGAGTCGAGGTGCTTCACAAAGACGTCTGGGGGACCGTCTGTGACGACCAGTGGGATTTACGGGAGGCCAAGGGTGTGTGCAGGGAGGTGGGCTGTGGGGCGGCGATATCGGCTCCTCGGGAGTCCAAATACGGGGAAGGAGACGGCCAAATCTGGCTGAGCGATGTCAACTGCACAGGGACAGAAGCGTCCCTCACCGAATGCGAGGCGAAGCCGTGGGGAGACAACATCTGCAACCACGTGGAAGACGCCAGCGTGGAGTGCTCAGGTAACCCTCGCTTCACCTCCCGTCCTGCACGTGCCGGGCAGTAGGGTGGGCAGATGCCACCACGCACTTGCCCCCTGTCTGAATCAGGGCCGGTCCCGAGTCCCGGTGCAGCTCTGTCGGTGTCTGCTGGTGGGAACAAGAGAGGGACGCAGCTGATTAACTCATCCCACTGGTGGGTGCAGTGCTTGCCCAGTGAACCCAGGAGGACACACAGATGTAGCCGACCCAGGGACAGCAGGAAATCCTCTCCTGCCTGGGATTGCTCCGGTCTCCTGTCCCCTCTCTGGGCTACGGGGTGATAAGCATCAGCAGACTCCTTGAAGCAGACACAGTAGAGCCTGCAGCCATCCATGAAGACCAGGAAAGCTTCCTCCTTCTCTTTTCCCACAGCCCCTCTCCCTGGCTTTTCTGTCTTCCTTCCCACCCAGGAGAAGCCCAGCCCTTTCCATATCTCCAAGATATCTCCATATCTCCCTCCAAGAGACACCTGAGCCTCTGCTGAGCAGGCAAGCTTCCCACAGGTGGTGGGGCATGTAGGATGCTGCCTTAACATCTGGTTTTTGGGCATTTGTGCAGAGGTGGACATTCCTGAGGAGGGGCCAATCCGACTGGTGGACGGGCCAAACAAGTGCGCTGGGAGAGTGGAGGTGCTCCATGAGAACCGGTGGGGCACCGTCTGTGACGACCAGTGGGACATGAAGGACGCCAAGGTGGTGTGCAAGCAGGTGGGCTGCGGGTCGCCGTGTTGGCCGCTACGGGCGAGGGTCAGACATCATCTGGCTGGACGACGTGGAATGCAACGGGACGGAAGAGAGCATCTTTGACTGCCAGGCCAGGCCATGGGGGGAACACAACTGCTACCACGGAGAGGATGCTGACGTCATCTGCGCAGGTAACTACGGCATCGGAAGTGATGTGGGGAGCGGGTCAAACCCTTCTGGCAGAGCCAGTAGGCTGCATGCAGGGCACAGAAGGGGAATCAATGGGCAGGAAGGCCACCCCCAGCTCAGGATGGCACTGATGGAGGCAAGGAAGTGGGCACAGCAGGGAGCTGTAAGGAACACGGAGCGTCTGGTTAGGATGGATGAGGTGGTACCACCTGATGGGAGTGCAGAGGCAAACATACCAGCGACAGTTTGGCCATGGGATGGATCCTGCTAGGGAGATGGTTTTGTATAGGGTGAGGCTCCTAAAAGGCAGAAGGAGGGAAGGTGGGCAGTCCGTGGGGCAGGAGGTGACAACGAGCATCTGTGGGGGCAACAGGTGTCTGGGGCGAGCTGCCCCTGTATCAACATGTCATCAATACTCAGCAAATGTCTGGGTTGGACTCTCTGAAGCTCTCGGGAGCTGAGTTCCTGACTTCTTACAGCCTGTTTCTTGGGAGAGAAGTTTGGACGGGTCCCACATGGGTGAAGAGAGGGATCTCTGGGGGTCTTTGGCCGGTTCCGTTATGGGGGAGCAGGGCTATAGGAGCTTGGATTTCATCCAGGTGCTGCACCATCAGGACCACGTGCTGCAGTCTCTGGAACAAACAGTGCATTTTGCAATGGGGTCAGAGTCTGCACGTCATGCAGTCCTGTCCTGCCTCACACAAAGCCCCATCCAGAGCTTGGTGGTGGGTTCCCAACAGCCTCAAATACGTGGATGTCACCCAACCTGCAGACCTTCTTTAGCAACAGAGTTCTTGCTGCTTCTCACAGGCCATTCTGGTGTCACAAAGCTCCCGGGAGCAGATTTTCTTCACCTTGCTCCCTTTCTCTGCAGTTAACGAGAACCTGGAGGAGCCAGAAGCACTGTGAGCGCCAGACCGGCCCCACCACGCTCGTCTTGCCGCAGGAAGATGGGGCAGCAAGACTCAGCTGAGCAGGCGACGGGCGGGGATGCGGTGGAACCATCGGTGTGCCGTAACGGGATCCGGGGTTGGGCAAAACCATCTTCTCGCATCCTTTAGAGGGTCTACTAACTTGGTTATAGCTTCATTTATGGAAAACCCAGCTCAACACATTATCCCCCCCCCAAAAAAAAGCAAACATCACAAAGAATCAATAAAGCTCCCTCAGACTGAACATCTGGCTGTCTTGTCAATCGCTCCGGGAGCTGGGCTGCCAGAGCGCACATCTGGCAGGAAGCTGTTGTGTGGAGAAACCTTCTGGCTGCTGCAGCATCCTGTGGAAGCTCTTTCCCCGTGCAGGCTGGCTGAGAAACACCTGCGGCTGGTGAAACATCTGGGAAAGCTGCCCTGAAACAGGTGCTGTAGCATTCGGCCAATCACTGTGGGAGATGGATGGTCAAGTGACCAATAGCCTTGGCCCATCTAGTGAACCACGTGACTCCTGACTATTTAAGGTGGGGTGTTTACTCCTAGGGGTGAGGCATTTCCTCCTGAGCCCTGGAGCAGTGTGGGCCTTCCTCAGAGTAGAGCCTGAAGCCTTCGCGTTAGAACATTGGTCTGCTTGGAGCCACCTGAGCCTTCCCCTTGCGACACTGTTGGTCCGTCACGACGAATATGTACGTGAGGAAGGACTATGATGAATATTTGTGCCAAGGCAGGACACCATTTTTCAGGTCTGCGGAGAAACATTTGCCTCTACTGGTGTTCGGGCCAGTAATGGGGGCAGCTGTAGGAGCCGCGGGATGTGACCGTGGCACAACACCAGCTTATCTCTGAGGGTCTGTTTGTTCCTCCTGCGGGGGGAGCTGCCCCCCAAGGGAACAATTCGCTCCTTTTCTTCCTTTGTGTCGTGGTTTTTCGACTGAGGGTTGAGACAAGAACTGAGAGGGA